CCCTGCCTCCGCAGCATCTCCGTGTACCAGAGCAGCCAGGGCGCCAAGAAGGCGCGGCTTCAGCACTTCTTTGCCCCCGAGCGGTCCGCGGTCCTGAGCCTGGCCTGCACGCCGCGGAGCCTGTGCGCCGGCCTCGTCGGCGGGGCGGTGGCCGTCTACGCCAAGGCAGAAGGTAAAGGGGCGCGCGTCACAGCCTGCGCCACGTCTCGGGGTCACAGCTGAACCCCACCCCGCGTTTCCGCCTCACGTCTCGGGGCACATGTCACTGTCCTGTTCACAAGGACGACGGGAAAGTGGCTGAGCACGCAGGGCTTGTCGGGAAGGTCAGTCCCCGCTGCTGGCCGTTCCGACCCTGCAGAGGGGATGTCGGTGCAGACCCCCCACCTGTGCCCGGCCTGTCCTCACTCCGCCCCCAGCGGGCCTGGGAGCCCGGGCACGGCCCGTGTCCCCCCTCAGGCTCCCTGTCCCTTCCTGCCTCCTTCCTTCTCCTCACGTGTCGGTTACAGATGCACCGGAAGTTCTCCCGGGTCCCGGTGACGGGGAGCTGGCGTCGCCCCCCCACACACACCGGCCGTGGGCCCTGCCTGTGCCCCTGGTCCCTCGGTGCCGTCCGGTGCACGGTGGCGCGGCCCAGGGTCCCGGTGCCCCGTCCGCCCTGCGGTGCCTGTGGCGGCTCGGCCTCCGCCCTGCCCTCCGCAGCGCTCGCTTTTCAGAGGTGCTCCCAGCCCTGGGCCCCCGCCCGCCTTCCAGCCCCCTGTGCTGCGAGGTCCCGTCCGCCTCGAGCACCGTGGCTAAGTCGGCTCGGGCTGCCACAGCCAGTGCCACAGGCACTGCCCCTCACGTCCGGAGCCGCCTCCCGGTGTCCACAGGGGCCACACGGGGCTCTGGTCTCCTCTCCCGCTTTGGACACTGGCTGTGTTGGGGCGCCACCCCCAGGCCCGGCTGCCACACCGCACTCTGGGTGCGCACACGTGGTCACCGCGACCCGTTCACAGATGGCTGCGACGGACCCCAGGCTCCAGCCGCACGGTGGCGTCCACAGGACCCCGGGGGTTTTCCCCGCAGCCTGCTGCCCCAGACACCCTTCCCGCCTTGGCCAGTGGCCTCACGCCCGCCAGGCCCTGTGCCAGCCCCGCTGCCCATACTGCGTCCCCAGCACGTCCTTGTCCACTCTTCCCAAACACGCCCCGGCCACCTCCCACCCGTCATCGACACCCGGCCCCACCTGGGCACACAGAGCGATTCTGTCCCTGTTCCCGGGAGCTGTGGGGTGTCACCCGCCCACCCTCGTCCCGTGCCCCTGCCCCAGGCTCACAGCACTGGCCCCGGCCACACACAAGTCCGGCTGGCGCCCTGCCTGGGAGGCCGTCGGGCCCTTGGCCTTCAGCCGGCTCCTCAGAGGGGCCTCTCCGCCCCGAGTGCAAGACTGCACCCCGCAGGCGCCTCGGCAGGGAGGCGGGGGGCTGCAGACGGCATCACGGCGCGTCCGGCCCTTTAGCAGGCGGGGGTGGGAGGGGAAGCCTGGCCTTCGGTGTGTGGACAGCGCCACACACCGAGCGCTTCCCGTTGGCATCGCGGTGACTGACACGCGGTCCAGCTCGCGCCTGCCTGGTCGCCTTTGGTGTGTGCGCCGCGGTCTGAGCGGCTCGGCGGGGTCTGGGTGGGGAGCGCGTCCCGTGCAGGACGAAGGCGATCGGTTTGGAGCCGAGACCCACGCTCCCCGGGGACGCGCTGGTGTCTGCCGCCGGTCAGCGCAGAGGCCGGAGGGCCGGTTTTACCCGTTCACAGCGGTCTGCAGTCGCCGATGTGACTTTCCTGTGAATAGTTCTATCTGCTTTGAGTACTTTTTCTTGCTCCCCGAGTTGTCTGTTGACTGGCACTTGCTGCAGAGTGTGATAAACCGCGGCAGGGGACCCACACCAGACGGCTGGCCGCGCCCTGTGCACCAGGAGCGCAGCAAGCTCGTCGAGAGGGACGCCTTCTCCCTCGATTCTGACTTTTTGTACTCAGTGAAGATGTGTTTTCTCCTAATATAGCATTTAATGTTATAAGTGGGCAAAATTTTAAATATACTCGTTCCTGCTTTTATTATGTTAGTTTGTTATTATTTATAATTTTATTACGAAAGCAGGAACGGGGATATTTAAACACTCGCCCGGTTGTTTTGGGTCTGATCCCTTTTGACGATGACGGAACCGCTTTCTGCGTTATCGCCAGCGGTAGTGCTCAGCCGGGGGCTCTGCGGCTCTCTCACTGCACTATCCCGTTTTAAATTCTCACGACAGCCTTTGAGGTGCGTGGCAACGTGGTGCCCGTTTTGCTGAGACTTGGGGTGAGTGACCCGTCCAGGGCTCGCGGCGAGTGGCTGGCCGGGGGCAGAGCGGGGGCCCTGCTGGCTGCAGTCACTCTGCGCTTCGTCGCCGGGTTTGCCGACGAGAACGGTGTGAACCCCGGAACCCTGGACACCCAGATCCCGGTGTGAGCGTCAGCATCACGGACGATTCTGGTCGTCTGCTATTTAGAATTGATCCTTTGCCCCCAAGTTTCTATGTGCGGGTAACTGAATTTGAATGAAATTAAAAGTAGTATTTCCTTTTAAGATGGAGCCTGGGATCCCGAGCCCCAGATGGTGATAAAGTTGGGCGTGCTGCCCGTCAGGAGCCTGCTGGTGACGGAGGACGCGCTGTGGGCCGCTTCCGGAGGGCAGGTCTTTGTCATCGGCATGGAGACGCTCAGCGTGCAGGTGAGCGGTTGGGCGTCCAGTGCGGGCGGAGCAGGTGCTTCCCGGACCAGGCCCGGACTCTGAGGTCCTTGTCCCTCGCACGCAGCAGACGGGCAGCTGCGGCCTGTGGCCGACAGAGCGTTCCTCCCAGACCTGGCTCGGGGAGACGGCTCGGCCACGCGGGCGCCGCCGTGGTTGTGCGGGTGGTGGCACGTG